AGCGTAGCGGTAAGGGAGGTAGAGGCAAGAACGTAGCGGCAAGAGATGACCATCTTTCATCTTTTCTTACCTCAACCGATACTCCAGCCAATCACACGGCAGTTTTCAGTTGGCAGCCTCGCCTTGTAAGTTTAGTTTTTATGCGAGGGGCAACCAGACTTGATAATTTGTCAAAAATGGGCACCGTCATTTGTGTATTTAAAGAACTACTCTTTATCGGTCAATTTTATTTTATTTTAATACTGGAAATGGCGTTGTTCTACTCCTATTATGGAATATGACCGTTCTAATATCACTTTTATCTAAGTATGGAATGACATAGGTATATTCCGTAAAGTGTTACATAATGAAATATTCAATCATCTGATGACAGAATAAACACTCGTGGCGACATCTCTGTTTTTCATATGCAACAAATTTCCAACCTCACTTTCTTCCAATTAAATTATTTGTCTATGGTATTTTTGGAAACGTAGAAAAAGTACCCAGATAGCAAAATGTAGTCACGATGCGCGCACAGTGAGTGCACGCGTGCGTCTTTAAACGGCACGCGTGCGCGCAGATTACTACACAGATGCGCTCACATATGCGTCTCATATGCAGCGCACGCATTTAAAGCGCACGTGTGCCGACGCATTTCCAGCGAACATGAATGAGTCAAAAAAGTTGTATATTTCAAAAGGGGTTTAATGCAAAACGGCACAAGCGCCAAATTTTTCGAAAAATTGTTAGAAGTACAGGTTGATAGAGAATTAAATTCTCTAGCTAGAGCTCTATCGACCTGTAACAAATTTTTAAAAATTTTGGCGCTTGTGCCGTTTTGCCTTAAACCCTTCATTATATATATATATATATATATATACAGGGTGTTTCTTTTAACTTGAGACAGCTCAATATCTCGAGAAATACGCATTTCACGGAAAAATGTCTTAAATAAAAGGTTAATGTGACCAAAGGGGACATTATTTGGTACTACCGCTAGCCACCCCCTACCCCTCCTTAAGGGTGAAACGGGGGGTAACTTTGGAAAGTCAAATGGAATGACCCGATTTTTTTCACAGAGTTTGGTAGTACATAAAAAAATGAATAACTTTTATTTGAAAGTTTTTTCAATTTATCAACAGATGGCGCTGTAATTCAAAATTTAAGGAAAAGGGGTTTCCTTGTAAAATGTATTATTTGCACAGGGGTTTCCTTGTAAAATGTATTATTTGCACTGTGATTATTTGAAACGTTTGAAAAACAAAAATTAACATTAAATCAACAATAGTCGGCTCTGAAAACAATTTATAACAAATGTTCGAAATGTCGTCCTTCCATTTCGACACCAAGTGGAGCACCAGCGTCCCTGGTCGGTAAACGTTTGGTGCGGTACCTTAAGCGAACGATTAATCGGACCCTTCTTTATTGACGGTGCATTAAATGGCGAAAAGTACCGGAATTTTCTAGAAAACGATCTAACGGACCTTTTGGAGGATGTACCACTAGCACGGCTCCAAAACATGTGGTACCAGCAAGATGGTTGTCCTGCACATTATTCGACAATTGCTCGAGAGGTGTTGGATCGGGAGTTCAATGGCCGGTGCACCGCGGTGGATCGGTAGACGTGGTCCAGTAATTTGGCCTGCTCGATCACCTGATCTTACGCCACCAGACTTCTTCCAGTGGGGTTACTTGAAAGAAAAGAAGACATGGTGGAGCGGATCAGGAACGCCTGTGCGGCGATACCGCCCGATATGTTGGCGCGTTGTGTGCCAGAATTCATTACCCGCATTCAAAAATGTGTTGAAATGGAATGACGACATTTCGAACATTTGTTATAAATTGTTTTCATAGCCGACTATTGTTGTTAATGTTAATTTTTGTTTTTCAAACGTTTCAAATAATACATTTTATAAGGAAACTCATTTTTCTTAAATTTTGAAGGAAACTCATTTTTCTTAAATTTTGAATTACAGCGCCATCTGTTGATAAATTAAAAAAAGTTTTAAATAAAAGTTATTTATTTTTTTATGTACTACCAAACTCTGTGAAAAAAATCGGGTCATTCCATTTGACTTTCCAAAGTTACCCCCCGTTTCACCCTTAAGGAGGGGTAGGGGGTGGCTAGCGGTAGAACCAAATAATGTCCCCTTTAGTCACATTAACCTTTTATTTAAGACATTTTTCCGTGAAATGCGTATTTCTCGAGATATTGAGCTGTCTCAAGTTAAAAGAAACACCCTGTATATATATATATATATATATATATATATATATATATGATTATATAATCATAATATGATTATATAATCATATATATATTATATGATTCAAACATTTTTAACAATTGCAGAATTACTAATTAAGCGCCAACTTTTAAATAAAGCCCTTTTGTTTAAAGGACCATAATAATAATATTTAAAATTATTAAAATATGTATTACCTAAATAAAATTAATTTTTAATTTATTATTATTTGGTGGTATTTATTTAAAATAGAAAAAGGCAAGGTAAGCATAATATATTTTTGTATTTATTAAAAAATGTATGAACAACAAAATTTGTTTATTTAAAATGGTTAAATATATCGTTTGATATTTTAAAAAATTATTATTGTGTAAATTATTTTACATTTATCTTATCATAATAAATATTAACAATACTAATTATAATTATTATATTAATAATGTATAAATATCACTTATATAATATAAAAATATAATAAATAAAACTCTTCTACGAGACATAAATCGTAAATAAACTGAAAACATAGCCACGCCCACAATCCACACAACAAGGTCTTTTCGATCTTTATTCGCGCATGTTAAAAATCACAAAATTAGGCAACCAAGTATACATTCATACGTTAGTCGCCATTTTCATTGTTTGCAATTATTGTGCTGTTTTATGCGGATTTGTAATAATATGTCTAAAACATTTATTTTTATTAAGAACCAGATACAACTATTTTTAATTTACTTTACTAAAATTCATTGATTAATATACTCTTGTCAAATATTCACAATATCAGTTTACTTTAAAACTAAATGTAACTATTTAAATGTAATACCTAATTAATTTCTGAAATTCATTGATTAAAAAACTCTTGTCAAATTTCAGTTTACTAAATATAACTATTTTTATTTCCTAAATATTAATTTATAAAAAAATGTATCCTTTTGTCAAATCTTATAATGTTAAAAAACATTTCCAGTTTCTTTAAAAATTAAAAAAACTTTGTTTACTTCTTCCATGCCTGTTAGACAGAATTACTATTTTGGGTAATTTAAATTAACGGCGGCAAATAAATCAAATATGGCGCTAGCCGTATGTGCGCATAACAGCAAGATACATACACCTTAACATAACAGTACCGCATAACAGTACCGATTTTCGTTCGTATTTTAAGAAGATTGTTGTGTGGATTGTGGCCACGCCTTTCGCATACCTTTCCCCGCACTCTGCGAAAGCCGCTTCACTTGATTCAATGATACGGAATAGGCATCGTTCAGTCTATGTAGTCTGTGAAATAAACGAATTTTGACTTTTCGGTCAATCTACATTTCTGAATTTTAAAACATATATTGTTTTAAGCAAACCTATCTTTGTTTATGAAAATTAACGCATATAATCCCAACCACCATTGTGTGTTAGACTGACTTGCGCCGGCAAAATTCGCAATCACGTTACAGGTTCGCGACTGCGCATTTTAATATTACGGCAGGAAGTTGTAATATTTCTTGTGTTTATTTGCATTCAAAAAAATTGTCTCCAAAATTTGGATTCCAAACTTTAAGCCAAAATAGAGCGGGTGTAGCGGAATTAGGATAGATTCGGCTGTAGCGTAGCGTAGCGGAATTTTTATATTGTTGTAGCGTTATTTGTTATTTTCGAGTTGGTTCACTGGTTTGCGCATACACTTTTTCTATGCTTCCAAATTTAAATGTCAAATAAAAAGTTCGATTTTGTCTTTCGTATGTGGTGCATCGCACTTTCATCTCTGGGGCATTGCTCGATGAAAAGTTTGAAACATAGCTGACTTTGACCTAGGAGGGACAAAATGGAATTCCGGGTATAGAAATATATCTGTATTTTTGAACAATATCGCAAGCTTTGACCTTCCAACGAGGTATTATGTGATTTGTACAATACATTGAGTGGATGATCCAAGATTTGGAAAATTCACGTGTCTATGGGTGGATGGCTTCGTGAAGCGCATGGACATTTGCTGGTCAAAGTGGTTTATTGAGAACCGGTTTATCAATCTCTGGTTAAATTCTAGTTAGTCTATCTGACAGTTAAATTCCATATCTATCGTTGTGAGAACAATTGTATCCACAGACCTGTAATTCTCTGTGATTGTATCCATGCAAATTATCTACCAGATAACTAACTGCAACTTTAACCGGACATTGATAAACCGGCCGCAGATATTTTATCCTTAACCAACGTCCCGAGTCCGCCCGCTTGCCGAGTCCCGCTGCAGCGCGCTGTCACACTGTAAATCGGTATTATTTTTCGAGCGATATGACTTTTACAATAAGCTCGGTAGCTCGATGGAAGGGCGCCTGCTTTGCATGCGAGAGATACGGGGTTCGATTCTTGGTGCCTTTACAACTTTTTTTAATTTTTTTTTAAAGAAATTATATACCGAAATAATACAATGTGGCCTTAAAAGCATTTATATTTAATTTTACATTAATATTTTAATTTATTTACCTTTCCTCATAATAATTTTGCAACAGTTATATAATATAAAATGTAATTAAATGAATATTCCTTCGTTGAAAAATTTGTACTCAATGGGGCGGGGGGGGCCAATGGGGCGGGGTCGGTTGGGTTGTTGGGTTTGGGTTGGTTTCGAAGCTTCGCAAATTTTCTGTACCTAGACGTTAGTCACTGAGTTCGCAAGCGCGAGATGACTCGGTAAAGCAGCGGGACTCGGCAAGCGGGCGGACTCGGGACGTTGGATAAGGAAAAAATATCTGCAAACCGGCCCTGAAAGTTTCAATTTGAAACCGAGACCATTAAGGCCTTAGGCCACCAAGGAAGAAGAAGAAATAAAAAGTTGGGTTATGTCGCTGTAAATTCAAAAATTTTACTAAAAAATATGTTTAAACAGGTTGTGCATAAGTTTAGAGGATTAAATAGGGTGCCAAACTATAAAAATAACAATATTCTGTGTAAATCACGATGCAACAACGTTTTTAACACTACTTTTAGGGGTTTGTATGTAACATCACATTTAAAGGCTAAATTGTTTGTAGAAACAGAAAATCTGTATGCTTACGGGCTCCTCAACAGTAAACTATACGATAATACTGAAATAAAAGTAGAGAAAAATGTCAAAACATTTGAGGAATTTAACGAATCACTTAGTAAACCTTACAGAACTTCGTCTGCTAATATTATAGTGAATACGTTTAAAAATGTAAAGGATTTTTGTGTAAAGAATAATATTACCCTGTCAGATAACAGGTTTGATAATTTAGTGGATGGTTTAATGGATCAATGTGAGAATTTAAGTACTTCTGAGTTGTACGATCTTTTAATGACAATATCAGAGATGCCACAGTGTGAGTCTTACTCTAATCATAACTACCACGATGTTTGGAGCTGTTTGGACGACGTTTGTATATGGAAAATGAAGGATTGGGATGTCCCTACAATGTTTAAATTTGGTGATATATGGTTTAAAATGAACTTAGGTTAGAATCTTTCCTTTAACATTGAAAATGTAACTAAATTTGATATTTTAGGTATCTATGAATTGTGTTTATTTATTTTTTATTTTTTAAACCTAACATGTATTATTTTAACTTGTATAATTTTGGCTGAAAGACAAAAGTCAATTGCCTTTGAGTAATTCCATATGAAATCAACAAATGGGGTGTGCCACATGATTTTTAATTGGAAAAAAAATTGAGGATAATCTTTGAGGTACCAGAAATGCTAAACCACCATTATTATCATATAACTTCTAGTCAGTACCCATCCGAAGTCAAAAATTGGGTCAATTTCATACTTGTACATAATGGGCTCTAGCTTTTTCTTAAGAATAGGTATTGAAATGATTTATGCTTTATTTTATAGGGTAGTAAATGTGCATTTCATATTACAAAATAAAACTAAACTGGAACAATTAGGAACAAAATGGCGACCATCTGAAATTTATACAATTTTTTCTCATTTTTACGATTTTTAATTGGACCGTGTCAACACAGTTGCACATTAAGGATTGATTTTTTTGAATTTTTGATGCCATGACATTGTTCTAAAATGATATCTTTTAAGAAAAAATAATTGTGATTATTTTTTTTGACAGTTCTCTGTATTGTTGGGACATTGTTGAGGCATTGTTGTTGAGGGAACCTACAGCGAATTACAGCGATAATTTTTTGAAAATTTTCTCTGGTAGTTGCTATATATAAAAAACAAATTAAATCTTAATTAAATGTTGTTTTATTCATTATGAAATTCTTATTTGTTAACTGTACATGGTGCAATTCTATTGGCCGACATTTGGGACGGAAAAATAATCCCCCGAATACCACACGAGCTTCAAAATTATCTGGCATTTCCCTCAAGGTTCCCTGCAAACAAATAAAGTCGTCAAGTTTTTCAGGAAAAATCACTCGCGCTTCGCGCTCGTGATTTTTTAACCTGAAAAACTTGACTCCTTCATTTGTTTGCAACGAACCTATCGGGAAAAATACCCGATAATTTTGAAGCTCTTGTGGTATTATAAGTGAAAATTAATCATTTTTAAAAATATTTAACTTTGACCCACCAAAAAACCGATGTGGAGGAAAAATTAAAAAGGTGATATTTTCAGAAAATAAATTCTATATCTTCGTTGATTATGTCCACCCTATCGTAAATGACCAATAGAATCCAATAAAAAATAAGTAATTGGTTTGAAATGTGTTTTGGCGCTATGAATCACCAATTCATTCCAGTTGAATTCTTATTGGTAATTTCCAATGAAGTCAGCGGCTTGAATTGGGAAATACCAATCCATGCCTATGCTTGTCTCTATTGGCTAAATCCAATAGAAATGCCCATGGAATGAATTGGTAATTCATAGCGCAAAACCCATTCCAACCAATTAAAACTAACTATTTTTTTAAATTTGGATTAGAAAATACCTACCAGTTTATTTTTCATTCAAAAATAATTTTAGATCCCAGAAGGATAACCGGGTAAAAACCAGAATTCATTTTTCACAGAAGAGACAAAAAATGTATTGTTACATATACCTTAGTATCACAAAAAAGTAATAAAAAATAAATAAAATTAGGTACTCTGATATGATCATTTTTTGTCTTTCTTGCAAAGGATGTTTGTAGGCATGGTCAAAGTCGATATTGTTTATGTCAATTTTTTTTATTTTGTCCGCTTTGACAACCATTCTTTCGCCATCTACCTTAAACCTTACACATATAAACATTTTTTTAATATACAGTGTGTCCCGCTTTTCATAAATCCACCCTTATAACTCAGTTATTAATAATGCGATTTTCTTCAAATTTGGTTGGTGATTGTATGTTGGAGAAATGAAATATTTGCTAAAGCAATTTTTTTTATTTATCATTGGCGTACGGTGTTAGGGGGTAAAAGGGGGTCGATTTTTCGGCAAAAGGATATTAGGGCTTATTTTAGATAAATTTGTCAATCATATTTAGATTCAGCATTCCCAAAAACCCCTTAATCCATATTCTTAAAATCTCAAAAACTGATTATGGCAGAAACGAAAAATTAATTAATTTATCAAGACATTTTTAATTTTTTACAACTTGTTTATTTAATTGCAATAACAAACCCAAAAATTTAATTTTTTTTTAAATTCTGGTCTGTTCTACATAACCACCTTCCATAACAATACCCTTTTCAACAACTTTTCTTAACCGTTCACTCACTTTTCTTAAAGTTTGGGAGTAATTTCTGGACACGCTTGCCTAATTCTGACGCAAAGTTGTTCTCTGTTACGCGGCCGAGTAAAATACGCTTTATTTTTCAAGTATCCCCATAAAAAAATCACAAGGGGTAATATCAGGCGATCTAGGGGCCATGGTTCTAAAGGGCTATTTCTCCCTACTCACTTCATAGGAAAATTTTCATTTAAAAAATTTCTCACTCAGGGAATTATGTGCGGGGGCACCATCGAATTGGAAGTATAAATTTTCTCTCTGTGCTAAAGGCAATTCCATTAAAAAATCATGAAAATCATTTTCTAAAAAATTTTCTCCGTTGAGGTTATCCAGAAAAAAGGGCCCAACAATTCGTTCGTTTAATACGCCACGCCACACCACACGTTAACTTTTTGACTATTGGTTTTTAAAATTACGATATCGTATTTACAGTTGGAATTTTCGGATGACCAATATCTACAATTTTGACTAGACACCACACCGTTTGTGGTAAATGTTGCCTCGTCAGTAAACATGATGTTTTTTAAAAAATATCTATCGTTAAGATTGCAACCATAAGCAAAATTCAAACCGTCGTTCAAAATCACCATCTAAGAGAGTATGTAGAAATTTTGGCTTAAATGCCTTAATCCTATTTCGCTTTAAACTCCTGCATATTTTATTTTTGATTAAATTTAGTGTCCTCGCAACTGCCCTTATACTACCATTTAGATTGTTCCGAAATTCTGCTAAGAAGCTTTCGTCATCTGGATATTGTCGTCGATTTAAATTGTACTTTCTTGGTCTTATTTTTAACACGGCTCCGGTTCTTGCAAACAATATGTTGATATCACCAACAGTTTTATGCCAAATTGGTGCACGATCATGAAGATGCTGATTAAATATTCGAGCAACCTGACGGGTAGATCTTTCATTATCATCAATTAAGCGGATAATTTCAACTTTGTCTTCAATTGTAAGAACTACTCTCTGATTTTTTGCCATTTTATTAATGCATTGATAAATGACACTGTTTAACTTTTGACAATTCGTACGAATTGCCAAATGTCAAACAAAAACTTGGGTTTCAAAGAACTCTTTGTGTTTAGTGTTGACTGGTCACTGACCAGTGGTCATCGTGATGTCTTAATAAATTAATTATTTTTTTTTTCTGTCATAATCAGTTTTTTAGATTTTAAGAATATGGATTAAGGGGTTTTTGAGGATGCCAAATCTAAATATGGCTGAAAAAATTATCTAAAATAGGCCCATCCTTTTGCCCAAAAATCGAACGCCCCTAAAACCGTACGCCAATGATAAATACAAAATTTTACTATGGCAAATATTTCATTTCTCCAACATACAATAATTAATAATAATAATTAATAATAATTAGGGTGATAATTATTATCACCCTAATTTGAAGAAAATCGCATTAATAATAACTGAGATATAAGGGTGGATTTATGAAAAGCGGGACACACTGTATAAGTACAGGGTGGTCCACGTAAGGTGACCCATATACTTATCTCAGAAACTACTGGAGTCACAAAAAATTTGTAGGAAACAAATATTCACAAAGTAAAAAATATTTTTAAAATATTATATTTTCATTTATACAGGGTGTTCGGTTTTCCTTGGGACGATACCAACTTTCTTATTTTCAATGGAACACCCTGTATTTTTTTGCATTTTTGGATTCTACCCACTCTTTTAGGTATACTTTGTAAATATATTAATTAAGAAAATGTTAATACTTTTTGAGTAAAATTAAGATTTATTAGAATTTCTCTAAATGTAGACACTCGCTAAAAGTTAAAAATAATCAACTAAAAGTTATTATTTTTTATATTATGTAGTATCCATCTCTTTAATAATAAGTAAGCTATAAGTTAATTAATTTATTTTTTGGAAAATATTATACGGGGTGTTTTCTTTGAATAATGAAAATTTAACTAAGGTAATTGGAAAAAAGCTACTAATTGTGAAAAATGCGAATATTTTTTTTTCTGTTAGGTTTAGGTATAGGACATATATATATATAAAATGAAAGGTAATTACTTATTCTATCCAATTATGCAAAAATATATAGGGTGTTCCATTGAAGAAAAACAAGATTTTAAACTTTTAAAATCGCTATTTTCAACGGGACATAGAAAACACCCTGTATGATATTTTCCAAAAAATATAATAATTAACTTATAGCTTACTTATTATTAAAGAGATGGATAGTACATAATATAAAAAATAATAACTTTTAGTTGGTTATTTTTAACTTTTAGCGAGTGTCTACATTTAGGGAAATTTTAATAAATCTTAATTTTACTCAAAAAGTATTAACATTTTCTTATTTAATGTATTTACAAAGTATACCTAAAAGAGTGGGAAGAATCCAAAAATGCAAAAAAATACAGGGTGTTCCATTGAAAATAAGAAAGTTGGTATCGTCCCAAGGAAAACCGAACACCCTGTATAAATGAAAATATAATATTTTAAAAATATTTTTTACTTCGTGAATATTTGTTCCTTACAAATTTTTTGTGACTCCAGTAGTTTCTGAGATAAGTATATGGGTCACCTTACGTGGACCACCCTGTACACTACTAACACTAGGCACTTAACACTGAAATCGACTAATTCGCTAATAAATGGCGTCCAAAGACTTGTTGTTGTTTTTTCTTTATGATGGCGTCTCAACCTCGTTGATTTTGCGCAGCTACACGAGAGCCCTCTTGCGATATTTGTATTGTATTGGGAATAACCAATTAGCAGATTTTTCGAATCTTACACTGGGAATT